ATATTGTTTCAATTACGGTGACATTACATAGGTTGGCATACATGTCCCACTTGCTAATCGACCCTTCCATTAGCCAGGACTTCACTAACCCTCCCATCGAGCCACAAAAAGATTAGGGAGAATCATGATGAGGAGTGACTTTTACATTTTTGTTTATGTTTCTATTTTTTTTCTTACTAACAAATAATGTTTTAATATGAATTTCAATTTAATTTATAATATTTTAATTTTAATTCAAAAAATTATTTTTTTAACAAGTTATTTGTTTTAATTGTTTGTTACCACTAAGAATATCAAAATTTTTAATATTAAATAAAAATAAATTAAAAAATATTAACTGTGAATTAGTGATGGATTAGGGATAGAAATGAAGATAAAAAAAATTTACTTAAAAAACTATGAAAAAAACTATGGTCACTAGTTAGCGATGGAATAATGACCAAATTTAGTCGGATTAGTGATGGATTTTTTTTTTTTTGATACTTATTGGGGAATTTAAGATGATTTTGTGATGGAATTATGACATATTATATGGTAGAAAAACAATAGTTTCAGTTTCCACTTAGCGATGAAATGAAACAAATTTAGGACGGATAATTTATGGCTAAGTTAGGGATGGATAATATGTCTTTTACATTTTATCGTAGATGTTAGCGATGGATTTTTCTCAATTGCAAATCCATCGCTAAATCGTTTTAATGATGAAATGTTCTATGATAATGATGGATTTTTCCATTGTTATTTTGCTATTTTTTTTATAATGTTTGTAAAATAATTTATGACGAGTATTGAAAAACTAAAAATTCAATCAAAACAAGTATAGATTCAAAAGGAATTAATCATGGTTTAATCGTGGTTGTAAATTAATCAATGACATTGTATGCGTGTGTGTGTGTGTGTGTGTGTGTATTTCTCTATTCAAATAATTAACCTGCATTTACCTGCAAGCCAAGTAATTCTTAGTCTTCCATATGTTCATTAATTCTAGCCCAACACCTATACTAAATTTTTATTACTAACCGATTTGGTATTAAGTAATCCTCTTCAAATTAATAATATCATTATGTTCTAGGAAGAAGCTACCGATGAAAAAAAATTATCTAGCATTACTTGTTTAATTCATTCTCTATTTCCTTTAAGCAAGCAATGAATACTTTGATCATAATCATGTTGCCTAAGTGCTACTCTAATCAAGTTTCATAACAATCATGGATTATGAACTCATTTTAGCATCGGACCATACAATTCAATTAATTAATATGCATCTCAATCAATTGCATCATGGAATCATAAAACAAATAAAATAAAGAAATAAAGAAATTTGAATAAAAGGACAATTTCGATTAAGAGTATTGTTTCATAATTGTGCTAACCGATTAAATTCCCTTGAATCAACCGAAGAAAATTAGTAAGACAATAATGTAAAAATATCCAACAATTTTAGAGAGAAAGCCGGAGGAAGAAAAAAAGATTGAGAGCTATTTATTTCTTTACAATTCCTATTTATATCCCCAAAAGACGAAAAATGTTTGGTGACCCTAAGTTATTTCCTCAAAATCGGCTTTGCTAATTTCCTAATCTCTCTTTGTTGTCGGATATTGAAAATATATATCCCGAATAAAAGCTTTCTATCTTCATAAAAATTATACACATATTCATCATATTTTCAATACATCAAGCCGTGTATAAAAAAAAAAAAAGGTCCACAACTCAATTTATATGCTAAAAGGTGTGATCGCCTAAACCAATCCACCAAAACTTAGGATTTTGACTTTTTAGCTGAATTCCTCCTTTAAATCGACCTAGTTTGTAATTAGGTCTTTCATAAGAATTGTAGATATGTTTCCAAATACTCATATGGGCTTGGTCTTACATCAATTAGAGATTTAAAAGTCTAGATATGAAATAAAATCCTTAATTGGTCTTGAATTGCAAGTAGGATTCGAATCGACTTTCAAAATCAAATTACAAAATATCATTTAAAAGCCCAAAAAAACTTAATTTTTGACCCATGATATCATTATGAAAAGTTTGAGATATCCTCTACAAAAACTATGAAGTTCCCTTCTTGTAATTCTATCTCCAAAACTACTAAAAATATACAAGAAGCCCATATCTAAATCTCCAAGTCAAACACGCTGCGATTTCCTAACTTCAAACACAATTTCTCCAAATTTAAAATTTTATGTCCTAACCATGAATATGAGTATTAATTATTGTAATAAAACATATAAAATAGCAAATAAACTTAAAATAAAAAAAAATAAAGATATAATATAATGTATCCGTCACTCATATATATAAAAAATGATAGGGTTTTTGGGTTGTTAAATATTATTGGAATTCTTGAATCCTATTCTGTTTAGAATTTAGACTTGTTTAAATTAGAATTTAGATGATTTGAATTGATCTGAATTTTGGTACACATAATCTAATGGAGCTTATCTAGATGTTGGTAAAATTTCCGCTCATTCTGAATAGTGTAGTTTAACACATCAACCATAACTGGTAGGTCCTGGAGTGTTGATTGTTGATTTCAGGTTTTGTTTGTTTTGTTTGGATTTGTATAGTAATTGTAGATATTTTTATTTGATTTTGAAGTTAATTTTACGATTGATGAAATCGGCCTAGAGAACATTTGTATAGTAATATTTTTGATGCTTGTGTATTTGAGTTTATGTAGGGTTTAAACATCTCTCAGTCCAACATCGAGAGGTCTCGCATTAAAAACATCCCAGCTTGATACGTCCATGAGTTACTGGCCATATTGTCTTTATGTCAACATGTAGTGGACTGATAGTGGCTCTAATACCGTTTGAAACACCTTAAGCAGCCACTGGACTTCATTCTCTTATGACCCAAAAGCTTAAATTTCAAATTATTATTAATGCTCCACTCAAGCTCTTATATCCTCTAGATCTCCCTCGTTCCTTTTCATAGTCGGATTAGAGCAACACAACAGAGACAATGTCTTTTTGCTGCACGTAATGTGGAACTAGATGTTTAAAACACAATCTTATATCTTAAATATCCAGTCACCTTGCAATTTATTGAATCAGATATTTTGAATATTCATCCTCCACAATGACATTTTTTTTTCAAAATTGTCAAGCGTTTTCTTTCCTTCTTCTCAAAAAGCCATTTTCATGAGAGAAAAGTCTTGTGAAAAATTTATTTCAATCTAAAATCTTAAATGATTAGATCAACATAATATGATTTTATTATATTCATTAACACTTTTTGATTGCTGGTTTCACATGATTTTTTTTTTAATTGATTTTCTAATCATTACAGCTTTTTTTTCTAGAAAAGATGATCTCAAACTACATGTCATCTAGCTTGTTATATAGTTGGTGAATGACGATCATTTGAGTTGTCATTGTAGTGGGGATAATTTAGTCATAAAAATTGTTACCATACATGCTTAAATGGAAAACTGGCATACTTGTAATTACCAGATGTTGTCTTTTTGTGAAGTCTAATTTTTGTAAACGAAATCAAACTATAGAGTGGTATGTAATATAATATTTAAAATCTTGAGTAAAGTGTAATATTAAAAAATTAGTCTGCAAAGTGTTTTCGTGCTCAAACCATAGGATGATTTTCATATTATATCTTAATTTAATTAGAGGATAACATGTGCTGCGTCTTTAGGCATGCATGTGGTGGTGACACCGAAGTGTCTTCTTGCATTGGGCCGAATATTTGTAGTCTCACAGGACAAACATATCCAAGTTCAGTTATCTTATTTTATTTCTTATTTTTAGTTATTTTAATTGATCTTTATTGGATGATGATTTTTTTTTTCGTCTTGTTATGTTTGAATTAAATTTTTAAGTTAATTAAGTCCAATTAGATTAGGAGTTTATTTAGTTCTAGTTTATTTCAAAGTGGGCTCAAATTAATAAGTCTAAGTGAATTAGGTTCTTGAGAAGAGTTACATTTAAAATTTTCTATTGTAAGTTGTTAGAGATTTTATTTTTTTATTTTTAAAAAAAGTTAACCAAATAGATTTTTCTCCTCAAAATCAGCATTTTTGTGTCTCATAGAATACATACTTATTTTGGGCACTGATTACTAAGGCGGCGACTTGATATCACATTCAATAAGCACAGTGGTGTATCTATATCCTTGGCTATTTATATCCTTGGCTCTAAACATAAGTATCTCAAATCTTGATTTATTTTCAGAAGTAGGTTTTTATTCATTTATTTAATTGAAATTTTTGTGTTGGATTGATTTTACTATTTAGAAGATTTGGTTAGTTCTAGTGTTGCATAAAGGTAGGATTTTGCTATTTGTGTTTTGGGTTCCAGGGAGGTACAGCAAGGTTGGAATTTAGGGTTAGGGTTTTTAGAATTGCATGAAAATTTTCCATTCATGTATGCTAATCATGAAAATGATCTAGTTAAAATTTTGCAAAATTATGGCAAGTATAGCCTAGATTTCAACACTATAGTTTTGAAGGTTTTTGACTTTTGTTGTATGTGAATTTCAACTTGTTGAAAAGGGGACCTAGATGTGTGCGATCAACCTAAAATTTGGATAGAAAATTCATTTAGGCTTCACCTAGGTTGTGTCAAAATTGTAGAATATTCTAATAATTTTTACTAAGGTTTTAGCTTGTTGCAATATTTTAAGATTGTTAGATTTTGGAATTGTTTGTGTTGTTGTGTGTTGAATTGGTTGGTTGTGACTGTAGAGATTTCAGCCAATGCAGGATTTTAGTGTTCGTATGTTTGAGTGCAAAGTTGATGTGGTGTTGTGGTGTCAAAGTTGGTATCACAGCTAAGGTCAGTTTTTGTTGTGTGTTATTGACACCTGTGTGAAGATACCTCATAGAAATCACTAGTCCGTTTATCATTGGCGATGCAGATGCAACTTGCACACATGCAACAACTTCTTTTAGAGATCAAATAGAGAACCTTCAATGTGAGCTCAGGCACGTGCAATAACAAGTTGATGAATTTAATAGGAGAATCTGAAAGGCAGAAAGGCAGATGGCCAAAAGACTAAGGGTGAATTCAATAGTCGATAATTCTAGTTCTTTGGTAGGATTAAATCAATCTTGATGGTTTGAAGAGGATCGAAGCAAGACAGTAGCTTAGGCGAGGTTGTTATATTAGAGTATCATGACAGTGGCCTTAATGAAGATAGTGACTTGGTCGAGAAGGAAACAAAGAGTTATGCTGGCTTTGGTGGTGATGGAAGCAAGGTTGATGATGTTGTTGAAAATCAAGACCTAGTAGCGAGTGGTGATGTATGAGTGAGGTAGCAAAGTATGAGTATATTGACAAAAGTCGACACTAGATTAGAAGAGCATAGCGATGGAAAAGTCATAAGTCTCAATGATTATATAATTCAAGATGAAAACGTGGACCAAGATGAATAGTGTGGATTAGCTTTGTTCGCATCCTCAACTTGCTATTTTAATTGCAATTACTTTTGGTGACAAGAATGGTAGAACATGGGGTACTTGTAGTGGGAAATGCTTACAGTAGACAAAACTTAGTAGGGAGAATGTAAACGTCACCTACAGACCTGGCCGGATTCATGTATCTGTTGCCCAGTTTAAGGGTTAGTATGCTATAATTGTCGCCTTTATAAGTGTGGAATTTATGTGTGAATCTTGCACAAGGGTTCAAACCAATCCGGATTGGTGGATTGTTGTTGAGCCATTTTAGCAACCTAAGTCTCACATACGGACTTTCTTCTATTTTGAGCAGTTGATTTTGAAACATGATGTAGCAGTTCATGAAAGTAGAATCAAGCAACTAGATTAGGATATTGATTTTTTTCTTTGCAACTCAGGGTGCAAGTTAAAGAAATCAATCCAATTTGCCATGAGAATTTGATCTGTCTACCTTTAGAAGTTGTTGTTGGCAACAAAACAAACCAGGAGGGACACGTTTGTTCATTAACTTGTGAGACAACAAGCAAAAAATGAAAATGGCATGATGTTTATATGCAGGTCAATGATGAAACTCAAGGTTTTGACAGATATTCTACTAACAAATTCTTGATAAGTGAGTCACTCTTACAACAATTTGTGAACACTGAAGAGTCAGTCTTCAAGCGAGGATAGAAAGCACATGATTCTAGCATAAATGGCTTTTCTACGAGGACAGAAACCCGAGAGCGTATTAGAGAAGAGCAGTTGCAACAAGTCTACAAGATTAGAGGTTGGGAAATCATCGATTGGTCAAGTGGTGGTTTGCTCTGGTTTGGCAACCTGGTCAACATTAGAATTCTAAAGCCAAAAAAGAAAAGCGTTACATTTCAACATAATGAAGGTGGTTTAGGGAAGGGCATGGGCTTAATTGTTTGGGCAGGGTCTAGATGATGGAGTTTTCAAAAGACCAAGGCAAAAAAGACTTAAACTCGAGGTCAAGTTTTCTCCAACACTGGGAGTATGACACTAGAGCGTCTTCATGAATTGGGTTGAATATTTCTTGTCCACTGGAAGCAAAAATATTTAGGCATATTTATCATTTTTTATTTTTAGTTATTTTAATTCATCCTTATTGGATGTGGATTGTTATTTTTTTTATTTGGGTCTTTGTTAAGTTTGAATTAGACTTTTAAGTTAATTAATTAAGTCTCATCAGATTTTAAGTTTTTTGAGACCTAGTTTATTTCAAAGTGGACTTGAGTTAATAAGTCCAAGTGAATTGTGATTTTTTTAAAAGCATAGTATTTAAGTTGTTCTTCTGTAAGTTGTCAGACAATCTTTAGATATTTTGATAAGAGTCAAGTAGAAAGATTTTTCTATTCACAAAATTGGCTATTTTCGTGTCACATAGAACACATTCTGTTCTTATCTTTGACACTAGTCAACCAATGTGGAGACTTGATCTCACGTTCAAAAATCAAATTGATGTATTTGTTTCCTTGGCCCCTCACATACATATCTTGAAGCTTGACTTATTTTCCGAATTAGGTTTCAATTCACTTTTTAATTTAAAAGTTTATGTTGAATTGATTTTAACATTGCGAAGTTTTGGCTAGTTCTAGTTTTGTATAATGCTCATATTTTGCTCTATGTTTTGAGTTTTAGAGAGGTGCGACAAGGTTTGAATTTGGAATTTGAGGGTTTAGAATTACATGAAAATTTTCCAGTCGTGTATATTAATCATAAAAAGATTTGGTTAAAATTTGGAAAAATTCTAATAAGGGTAACCTAGATTCCAAAACTATCCTAGTTGTTAGGGTTTCGGTTTGTCCGTGTGTGTGAATTTCAATTGTTGAAAAAGGGACCTAGAGGTGTCTAATTGACTTGAAATTGGATAGCAACATCATTTAGGCTTTAACAAGCTTGAGTGAAAATTTTAAAATATTTTGATATGCTTTTCTAGGGTTTCGTCTTACTTGTAATATTTTGATATTGTTGGATTTTCAAGTTGTTTGTATTGTTATGTGTGTTAAATGGGTTGTGATTGTTGAGAGTTCGACCAAGGGAGAAGTTACGTATTTTTATGTTTGAGCATAGAGTTGATGTGGATTTGTAGAGTCGGGTGATGTAGGTTTAAGAGAGACAATAAAATGTTTGTCAAGATATAAAATCTTAGGCCATGAAGATGTTTTAATATCTATGAATATATATCATGAACTAATTAAATTATTTGCTAGAAAAATAAAACGAATATTTTGATAAAGTTCCTTATATTTTCCACAACTCAATCTTTCTTCATGTTTTCTTTTCTTTTATTCATAACATAGGTTATAGGACATCCAACTAGAAAAAGTCAAAGCAATTAAAATTCCATTCTTGCATAATGAATTTTTCTTAATGATCTCATTTGACACATGAGTGTATGTATAAGGCCGAATAGTTTGAGGATCAAATCTAAAGAAGTTGAATGATTCGGGACCTATTATATTTAGGCCGGCATCTATCCTAGTTAATTAATTTTTATTTACTTTTTGTAATTAGGTGTTTTATTTTTTATTTTTCTAAAGGATTCACTATTATTTAGGATTCCTTATAAGTTTAGTCTTATAGTCCTTTCTTTGTTAGGATTTGATTTAGCGATGTGTTAAGCATTTACATGAATGGCCAAATACATCTCCTAAAATATTGGGATATGCTTGACACTTTTGTGTGTGTCCAAGATCTAAGGTATTTAAATTTTGTTTTTCTTTAATTTTTTAGACACTTTTGATATTTTGATAGAAGTTAATAAGAGAGATGTTTCTCTTCTTTAAATTGTAGTTCTTGTATCATATAAAACATGTCATTATCCTTGGCATTGATCACCCAATGTGGCAGCACGATCATCGCTTTCTAAGAATCAAAGTGGTGTATCCGTATCCTTGCTTTTTAGATGTACATATCTTAAATCTCAACCTATAATTAGGTTTTGATTCACTTATCTTTTAATTGAAACTTAGCATTGGATTGCTTTATCAATTCGAAGTTTTGACTTAGTCCTCGTTTATTTGAAATAGGATTAGGCTCTTTATTGGTTACTTGTGTTGAGAATTTCTATTGATTAAAATAAGAGGCTAGGGTTGTTTGTTTAAGCTGAATTTTTTTTTTTTTTATCATATCTTCATCTATATGTGACGTGGTTAAAAATTCATAATATTCTAACAAATATAGCAAGGATTTTAGCTTGACCATAAATGGAGAGGTTTTAGGGTTTGTTCATGTCTTTGGATAGAACTTCAACAACATGAAATAAGGACCTAGGAATATTATATTGATCTAAATTTTAGACCAAAACTTCATCTAGGTTTTTTACTAGGCTATTCTAAAAGTTCAAAATATTATGATAAAATTTGACTAGGCTTCTAGCTACTATAAGATTTTAGATTTTGTTGGACTTTTAGGTTTGTGTTTGTGTGTGCGTTGGTTTTTTGTTTAAATTGATATTTGGAATATTTTTGGATTTTTTATTTAATTAATGTCGAATCACTTGGCTATTGGCCTCGAGATTTCGACTAAGAGGATATTTTTTATGTTTATTAATTTGTACATTAGGTCTTCAAAGAGTTGTATTATCAAATTGGTATGAGAGTTTAAGTGAGTTTTCTTTTACATAGAGTGATGCCAACATGTAAATGTTTAAATTTTAATTGATGAATTTTGTGATCTTAGTTGTGAAAGTTAGAGTATAGCCAAAGGTAGGGAGATGATGGTGGTTTGTTAGGGGTTGAATGTAGAGGTAGTTCTCGAGGAGGACTAGTTGGGATGTAATGTTTTCCACACTCATTGCACTTCTCATGGAAAAGTGTGTGGTGTGATTATATATAAGGGTATTTGTGAGAAAATTGTTTCAATGATGATGATAAAGAAGTTGAGCTTCAACCATTAATCATCCAAATCCATATAAGATAGCTTGGTTGTGTCAAGAGAATGAGTTTAAGGTTATGAAAAGATGTCTAATCCTTTTTTCTCTTGGGAAGAAGTATGAGGATGAGGTGTCGTATGATGTAAACTTCATGGATGGATGCCATATCTTATTGGGTAGGTCATGGAAGTATGATGGGAGAACTATATACAATGGATTTGAGAATCCATACTCCATTAAATTCAAAAGAATGAAGCTTGTTTTGATGCCTCTAAGGGAGGAGAATTTTGTCAAGAATATTGAAATAGAAGGTTAATGGGAGAAAGTCAAGGGTGAAAAAGACGAGCTCAAAAGGGATAATCTATTCCATCCCAAAATTGGAGAAGAAAAGTTTCAAACAGAAGGTGCTCCACTAGTTGCATGATCTCACACGTTCATTTTATCCAAAGAAGGAAACATCTTTTCATGATAGTATTTGTTTAGGTAACCGAGGCATACACTTATAGAATACTTCTTTTTGCAAAGGAAAGTGGATTAAATGGTTGCTTCCCCCATGGGTAAACTAAAACTAAACACATATGGAGCTTCCATGAACAATCTATGTAGTGGGGGTGGAATCATTCGGGACGATAGAGGGAATATGATAATGGCTTACTACTACTCTTATAGGAGTAGAATAACTCAAAAAGGGAGGCGTTGGCTCTTATAGAAGGTCTCAAGTTATGCAAGGAATACAACGTACCATATGACATCATAAAAGCCGACTCGTCCCCGATTTTTGGTTGTCTCTCACCGGCTACTTCCTATCCACGGCAATTTACTTATATTTTCAGAAAATGTCGGCTTCTTTTTAACACGGGAATAATTCTTCAACACTTTTTTAGAGAAGGGTAATATGACTATCGATAGACTTGCTAATTAGGCATTTCGGGGCACTTCCTGTAAGCTCATTTTCTCGGCTATTAATTTACCACTTTCATGCGGATCCTCTATTTCAAATGACATAATAAAATGATTTAATTATCTTCCTAAGTGATTCATTAGTATTGCCCTTCTTCTTTCTAGCTATTGATTTAGCTTTTGGTTCTAACATGGTAGCTTAGTTTAGTGTCCGTAACTCTTCTTACAGGAGTTTAGGAAACTTTTTCCTCCTCGTATATTTGGCTTAGCTGGTTTTGTCCCCACTTGTATTTTTTTATGTTTTTTTATATTCCTATGTTACCGTCCTTATTTCCCTAAAAAAGAAAAAAACAAAGGGGTGACTATGAATGTAAATTTCCCGACGTGGATGCTATCCTTATTAGTGATTATAAATCCCTTGTGGATTGGAACCAACCTCCAATCTATGAAAAGGTTATTGATGTTGTATTTGACGACTTAAAACATAAAGGTGAAGAAGATGAGGAAAAGGTCAATGAAGCTAACTCTATGGGTACAAAAAGCACTCAAAATTTCAATGAAAAGGTGGGTGATGATACTAGATGTGTTGGTGCTGAAAATGAGGATGATGTTGCTACAATTAATTATCTAATAGAAGGTGGTGCATAGCATGTGATAGTTATGATGTTGATCTCTTTGATTCTGATTTTGAGTTAAAAGAAGATGCGAGGTCTGTTGAGGGTCTTTAAATTGTTAGAGTCCGAGTTGCCAAGTTAGCATGTGATGACCTTGTAACTAAAGTTAATGGAAGAGTTATGTCTATTGCTTATGATAGAAGTACACTTATAAAGGACACTCGTGATAGTGGCTTCCTCGAATGAGTCAAATTACTACCACTATAGGTGGATTAGGAAACCAAAATGTGCGTACACTCCAACCTCTAATGTTTGTGAACCAAAATGAAAATACATATGTTGTAATTTTCGAAGTGAGAAAGAGGTAGAGGCACAACATAAGGCTCCTCTATTGGAAGATATAGAAAAAGCAAAAAGGAACTTGAAGTGCCTTTAACTAATCCCAAGGTAAACTCTTCAATTATTGTGAATAAAGATTTCATTAACTCTTTACCTCTTTTTCCAAACAGATTTAACAAACTAAAGAAAGACGATAAAGATAAGTAAATATTAGAGATTTTCGAAAGGTTGAGGTGAACATACGTCTTATTGATGCAATCAAACAGGTGACTAGATATGCTAAATTCTTAAAGGAATTATGTACTCTAAAAAGAAAGTTGATGGGGAATAAAAAGGTAAGTATGGGAAACAAATATGTCAACAATTATTCAAATAAAGTTTCCCCGAAGTGCAAAGATCCAAGTACATTCACCATTCCTTGTGTGATACGTAACACCAAATTTGGAAAAGCCATGTTAGACTTAGGATCTTCAATTAATGTTATGCCATATTTCATTTATGTGATTTTAAAATTAAGGCCTTTAAAAAAAAATAGAGTGATAATTCAACGAGCGAGATAGATCCGTTGCCTACCTTGAAGGGCGATTGATGATGTTTTGGTGCGGTTTAATGACTTAGTTTTTTCGATGGACTTCTATGTTCTAAGAATGGAGGGTGAAAACTCGCTAACTTCTATACCCTTACTATTAGATAGACTTTTCTTGAAACCAACAAGAACATAAATAGATGTGCATGAAGGAACTTTAACAATAGAGTTCGATGGTGAAATATTTCACTTTAATATTTTTAAAGCATTGAGGTACCCTAGAGATTTTAATTTTGTACTTTCCGTTGATATTCTTGATTGTTTGTTACAAGAAATGTTTGATCTTGAGAATGAGGATAAGTTAGGAGTTGCAATCAATATAAGCATGGAATGAAATATCTTGCACACTTCTAACTTTACTTTTGATAATGAAATAGAAGAAACGGTGTTGATCCTATATTTCTTACCTCCGCTCATCGATAGGTTTGACGTTGCTAAAATTGATTTATCTTTATCCCACTCAAAATTGCTACCTTTTGTTGTATAAGCAAAGTTATTGAACTCAAATCATTACCATCACACCTAAAGTATGTTTTCTTAGGAGAGGGAAAACACTTTTGGTAATCATACTAAGCAACTTAACCACTATGCAAAAAAAGAAAATCATTCGAATGCTCGAGGAGCATAAAACTACTATAGGGTAGACCATAGCTAATATAAAAGCTATTAGTCCTACCACAAATGCATAAAATACTTCTAGATGAGGGTTCTAAACCAATAAGAGAACCTTAAAAGAGATTGACCCCCATTGATAGAAGTGGTAAAGAATAAAAGTCTAAAATTGCTAAATGGTGTGATCTATCCAATTTCAAATAGTAAATAGGTAAGTCCGAGTTTAAGTGGTCCTAAAGAAGATAGAAATCATAGTGGTTGAGAATAAAAATAATGAATTGATTCCTATAAGAGTTCAAAATGGGTGGTGTGTTTGCATGAATTATCGAAGCTGAACACTATGACACACAAGGATCACTTCCCCTTCCTCTTCATTGATCAAATGCTAGAACGATTACTAGATAAATTCCATTATTGTTTTCTTGATGGCTATTCCAAATACAATAAAATTGCGATAGCTCTAAAAGAAAAGGAGAAAATAGCCTTCACTTGCCCTTTTAGCACCTTTATATGTAGGAGAATGTGTTTTAGTCTTTGCAATGCCCCTAACACATTTCAAAAGTATATGGTAAGTATTTTTTAAGAATATATTGCGAATACCATTGAAGTTTTTATCGATAATTTCATTATTCATGGAGATTCATTTGATGCATATCTCGATAATCCGAACTATGTGCTTGAACTATATATAGAAATTAACCTTATTCTCAACTCGAGAAATGTCATTTTATGGTGGAGAAAGAGATAGTTTTAGTACATGTCATTTCCTCTAAAGGAATTGAGGTTGATAAATCTAAAATAGATTTTATACAAACTTGCCTTACCCTTTAAGTATGAAGGAGATTCATTTGTTTCTTAGTCACATAGGTTTTTATAGGAGGTTAATCAAGGACTTCTCAAAAATTTTCTTGCCCCTATGTCATTTGTTGTAAAAGGATGTACCATTCAAATTCAACGAAGGGCGTAAGGAAGCTTTTGATAAGTTGAAAGAGAAGCTAACATCAACACCAATCATTCAACCTCCAGATTAAAGCCGACCCTCGAGATCATGTATGATATAAGTGAATTCACCGTGGGAGTTATCCTAGGGTAGAGAATTAGAAAATAACACACATTATTTACCATGCTTCTCGTACCATCATCCTTACACAATACAATTACTCTACCACGGAGAAAGAACTTTTGGTTATTGTATTTACTTTTAATAAATTTAGGCATTATTTACTTGGGTCTAAGGTTATTATTTATTCGACCATGCAACATAAGATATCTCTTGTCCAAAAAGAAAGCCAAACCAAGATTGATCGGGTGCATCCTTTTACTCCAAGAATTCAATTTGGAGATCAAAGGCAAGAAAGGGGTAGAGAATCTAGTGGCCGATCATCTAAGCCAAATAGTGAAGAAAAAGGATATAAATACCATCGCATGAGTTGTTCCCGGATGAACAACTCCTAGCACTTTAAGGTAAGAACCTATGGTATATTGATATTGTGAACTATTTCATAAAGCATGAAATACATGCTCGTCTTAGTAGGGCTCGTAGAAATAAAATAAAAAGTGATGCCAAATATTATTTATAGGATGATCCTTAGTTATGAAAATGTTATGTTGACCAATTAATTAGGAGGAGTGTGCTCGAGCATGAATTTGAGTGTATTCTAAAGTTTTTTTCATTCATATGCTTGTGGTGAAAATTTTAAGCCAAATAAAACTACTAGGAAAACACTCAAATGTGGCTTTTATTGGCCAAGTTTGTTTCATGATTCCTATATGTTTTACGGGGCATGTGAGTAATGTCGAAGCAAAGTAATTTCTCCAATAGAAATCAAAGGCCTTTGTCGCCTATCATTACTTATGAAATATTGATGTATGGGGCATTGATTTCATGAGTCCCTTCCCCTCTTAATTTGGTTTTGTGCATATTATCTTAGTCGTGGATTATGTGTCTAAGTGGGAAGAAGCTAAAGCAACTCTGAATTAATGATGCTAAATTTGTTATAGATTTTGTTAAAACTAACATTTTTGCTCGATTTGGAACTCTAAAAGCATTGATTAGTAGTAGGGGCATGCACTATTTTTAATAAAATGGTAGCAAATTTATCGAAGAGAAACCATGTTACATAAAAGGTATCTACGACCTATCTTTCACAAACAAATTGGTAAGCTAAAATATCGAATCTAGAGATTAAGTCCATTTTAGAGAAAATGATAAACCTAAACTGTAAAGATTAGAGCTAGGGACTCAATGATGCTCTTTGGGCTTATCAAACAGACCTTCAAAACATCGATTGGCATGCCCCCTAATCGCTTGATTTATGGAAAGACTTGTCATTTTCCAATATAGATTGAACACAAAGCTTTTTAAGCAATTAAAAAAATGTAACATAAGAATGGATGAAGTAGGGGAACAAAACAAAATGTAACTACAAGAGTTGGAGGAGTTGAGGATTGGCTCTTATAATAATACGAATATCTATAAGGAGAAAATAAAGAGATTTCATGATAGGATAATTGTTATGAAGACTTTTATGGTAAGACAGAAAGTCCTCCTCTTTCATTCCAAACTTTAAGCTCTTTCCAAGTAAGTTATGTTCTTGATGGACTCTTTGTTGTCATTAGTATGTCTCCTCATGGTGTGGTTGAAATTCAAAGCTTGGAGATAAATAAGGTATTCAAAGTGAATGGTCACCAATTAAAGCCCTTCTATAAAGGATTCCAATTACAATAAGAGGAGGTAATGATATTAGAGGATCACTTTTATGAATACTAAAGATACCAACATCGAGTTAATGATATTAAACAAAAGTGCTTATTACGAGGTAACTTAATGATTTTTGTAAATTTTATTACTTCTAGTTAATGCTCATTTTAGTTATTTAATTTTGCTGTGAATGCCCCATGCTTGATTTGATTTGGAGGAGCTTTACAACAATAGGTGAATTTTGATAAGTTAAGGGAAAGAAAGACATACCCGAGCAATGACACCCTATATGATTTATGGAAGAAAGAAACATGCTCGTGTGTGTGTTTAGTTGGAAGTTCATGCAGTAACAAGAGATGTAACATGGGCGGTAGCTAAAAACACAGTTTACACATAAAAAAAAGGCACACCCTTATATGCTTTATGAATGAAAAAATTATAGCCAAAGACGTAACAAGGGTAGTGGCCTTGCACACAATTTGCCCACCAATGATGACACATTCATATGGAACCTTTGCATTTTGTAATTCATCCTAACAACAAAAGAGCATGGGTAGTAAGGCATCCATATGGTTTGTGAGAGGAAATCCATACACCTGTGTGGGTGATGAGCTTGTACAATGGTAAGAAAGAAAGAAAGGAGACACGGGCAATCGCATCTAACATGGTTTGTGCGAGTAACTTGCACATCATTGTGTGTCTTAGGCTTCTCTTCCATCTACAACCTCCACTTTCTCTTGATTGTTGTATACCGGGTTTGCTCTCTCGCCCTATCTCTTAAATTTCATATGTTTAT